ATATATATACGTATATCAGTTGACTGACCGTTTGCTCTAATAATTGTTATGGGCAGGTTACAATATAAAAATGTTTGTTATAATCATGTCTTGTGATTATTTGACAGGAGTTTTACTTTTAAACTGTAAGTGTATTTAATTTAGCTATGTTAGTTATGATAGTTTAGTTATGATGTAAATACAATAAAAATTAAACCAAGATTGATAATAATTATAATTTGATCCACACATTGGTAATGTCTGACTGGGCCTCCTGTCACTTTATGTTCAATAAATTGGGCCCTGAGGTCAAAAAGGTTAAGAAGTCCTGGACTAGAGGACTGTAAAAGCTCAATTCCATTAGATTAGCAATGAAAAATAAAACCACCTGCTAAAGCCACATGTAGTTTCTGTGATACTGCATCACAACAGCTCTTGGTATGTTGGTCTGTTCATGTGTGTGTTTGTGTCACCAGATATTAGAGGAGATGATCAGACCTCACACACTGATTCAGCTCTGTCCTCTTCATTTCAGCAGGTGGAACTTTTTATCGTACAAGACTTTACTCACTTTGTGAACTGGTACCTTTATAAAAAATGAAATAAATTCTGTATTGTTCTATCTAATCCATTCAGTTAAAATGTTCCACTACTCCTTTTCTGTCATGGCAATTTGGAAAAAACTATTAAAATAAAAAAGTAGCATTCCTTCTAAGGTGTGCATGTTGTCCTCATGTGCCTAAGTTTTAACTAAAAGGTGCAATCTGTGCTCAGAGTATGTGTTGGGAATGACTCTCAGCTACAACAACTCCATATTTTTTTTTATTTCAGTTTGTTTATTCATTTCATTTCTTATAAAAACAACAAAATTTATGTACAGTAAAAACACAAATCACAAAAATAAAATGAAAGGTGACAGAAAGAAGAAAAAATCATTTAATATCTGCGCCTTTTTTCTCCAAAATACATTTAAACAATAATGATCTTCAAACAAAAACTAACAAACATAAAACATAAAACAACCTCAAATCCTTATTTGGTATTATTTCGTATGAACACACATTATTAGATTTTTATTTCTTTAACAAAATGACCATCATTTTCTGAAACATCAACATTGTTCTGGCATTTTTGACCTCACTCTCCAGATTATCCATAGTCTTTGTACCGAAGTACAAGTACATCGTAGTACATCGTAGTACATCGTAGTACATCGTTCCCTTAAACAAGTTCTAACTCCAGATTTCACAAACATCTCCACCACTTTCAGATTATAACAACTTTCTCACTTAACAGAATTCAATTGGATGTTTAAAGGCAATATACCTTTATGAGCCTTATACATAAGCTGTAAAATATTATAAATCAAACCAACTCATGTAACCAATAATTTCAGCTGATGAAATAATACATTTGAAGGGTGACTGTAATGTTTACCAGCAATAATTCTTACAGCTGTTTTCTGTAAAACAAAAATAGGGTTTACAATTGTTTTGCAAGCTTTCCCCAGCCTTCAGCTCCATATTCTGTCCATATGTTGACAGGAATCAGTTCAGGACACTTCGCCAGGCCGTCATCGACATGGTGTTGGCCACAGAGATGACCAGGCACTTTGAGCACGTCAGCAAGTTTGTCAACAGCATCAACAAGCCTCCAGCTGCCATCGAAGAGACCAGCACAAGTGTGAGTGGCAGTGTGCATGAATCACTCTCAGTTTGGTCTTTATAAGACAAAACAAACTGCTTTTATTTTACACTTGGTTGTTTGGATTGCTTGTTTTCAAGAGGAGTAGTTTGAGGAGAGTTAACCGGGTTTGGTTAAATGTTTAACACATTTTTCAATCATGTGAAAATGTTAGAGTGTTCTCACATCTTTTACATGTTAACTTGAACCTTCTGGTCCAGGACTGTAGGCCTTTTCAGACCTGGTGCTAATTTACGTTCATACCATCAATTAAAAGCCCCTCCTAAACATCCTCCCACCAGGCTGTGTTAGTCACTTAAATGTGACACTTTCCTTAAAGCCACACTTAAGATGTTTTACAACAGATTTAAAAATGTGTTTAATCCAGTGGATGAACAACGCTCCAAAACCAAATCTATGTAAAACAGCACATAAGAAGGACCAATTAACTTTATCAAAGGCTTTTTCTGCATCCAGGGTTAGAGTTACACTTTTATTTAGATTTTCTGGTGAAATGTGAATTAAGTTTAAAATTCTACGCATATTATCTGAGGCGTACCTATTTTTAATAAATCCTGTTTGGTCTGGATGAATTATAGTTGGAATTATAGTTTCTAATGTAGTTGCATGTGCTTTAGTAATAATTTTGAAACAGTATTTATAATTGATAATGGTCTGTAGCTGGAGGGCTGAACTGGATCTTTATTGGGTTTGAGTAGAAGTGTCATAGCTGCTGTATTCATGTGAGTGGGTATGGTAGAAAGTGATTTAATTTCTATTGTTACTTTATAGAATAGTGGTGACAGAATATCCCAGAAGTGTTTATAAGATTCAGCTGGAAATCCATCAGGTCCTGGTGATTTGTTGTTTTGTAAGTTACTGAGGGTTTTATTGAGTTCTTGGATGGAAATGGGCGAGTCTAAAAATTTGACTTGTTCTTCTGTTAATGATGGTAGTTCCTGGGTGTTCAAAAAGTTCTCTAGTTCTGATTGGCTGAAGTTATGGTTAGAAGAATATAAATTGCTATAAAATTGAAGAAAAATATTATTTATTTCTTGTAGACTTTGGGTAGTGTTTTTATTTTTCAGTGAGGCAGTACCTTTGGTTTACAGGGAGGGGCCGGACTTAAAAACCAGTGTTATAAAAGTATAAAGTACCACAAAGTGATACTTGAGTAAAAGTACAAGTATCTTACCAAAAACTTACTTTGGTAAAAGTTAAAGTCTTCTTTAGGAATATTACTTGAGTAAAAGTACAAGTATCTTACCAAAAACTTACTTTGGTAAAAGTTAAAGTGTCCTTTAGGAATATGACTTGAGTAAAAGTCTTAAAGTATGTGATATTTGTTGTAGTTAAGTATTAAAAGTCAAAGTGTAGATTTAAAATGAGCAGTTAGATTTT